ATAAGAGCTCTCTATGCCATTCCAGTTGCACATTTTAATTAAAATCAGATATGAACTAATATTAGCTATAACTTATAAAATCTTGACAGTTAGACTAATGTTTCAACCTAGCATTTGGCACCTTTTTTTTTCTTTCTGTAAGATGTACTGTACTACTACTAAAGATAAATGGCAATGCGAAGAGAGCTTTAGTGAACAACTAATGCTACACAACATTTATAACAGAAAAGAATGACGGATAACAAAAAAGAAGAAGGCATAGATGCAAGAATTGTCAAACTACTTTTGATACGAAAAAAGATTTTGAATAGTGATAGACTTGAAGTGGATATCAACAAGAGTGATGCCTCAATACTTTTGTTTAAGAAAAAAACTCATGAATATTGACAGTCTTGTGAAGTGGATATCAACAAGATCTTACACAATTATATATTAATTTTGTTTTTCCTTCTATTTTTAACGATTAAAGTCGTAATGATATGTGTATTGTATTATTTCTTTCTTTTTCCTTTCTTTCTTTCTCGTGCGTCTTTATGATGTCTCTTAAGTTTAATTTTTATGCCAACTTCTGATTGGTGTAAGTTTATAATTTATTTTAATTCAAATTAGTATTTTAAAATGCTAGAGTATATCCTAAAGAGATACCACTTCCTCACGAATTTATCTTAATTATGGTTGAAATTCTGCTTAAGTATAAATCAAATTTAAAATTTAAAATTATTTTCTCTTGGTTCAAATTCGTAACTTAATTATGTTGAAAAAACTGCTAATTACTAATCAAAATTTTAAAATTTATAATTAATTGCTTAAAAGAAATAAATCTTAATGATTAAAATATATTCTTTATTGGTGTTTGTTATGTAAGTTATAAAAACTATCGAGAAAAATGCATGCGTGAAAACTTTTAAAAAAATTATATACGCAAAAAAAAAATATTTATATTATTTAAAATAATTGAGACATGATCATTATAAAGAAATGATATAACTTACTTTTTCATCATAAGATCAAGCTGTATTAATTTCATATGACTCCATAATAATTGTTTATTATATTTCTACAAAATTCAATTCATTAAACATAATTACAATTCATATTTGGTTAGAGAAGGGTGGAAAAGATCGAAATGAATAAAGTCAAATTTAATTGCGCAAATACATGATATAAAGTATTAACTAATATTAGTTTGTTTTATACTGAGGGAATTATAAATTAGTGCTAGACTTATCACAAAAATTTAAAATAAGAAGACGATGTATGTATATGTAGTCAAATATATATTGTACGGATAAATACGTACGTAGAAATTTCCACGATTAAAACATTACTCGCTATTTAATTGTAACCATTACTTATTACAATAAAAATATATTAATTATAATAAACAAACTCAATAATATCTAATTTATTCTTCAAAGTATATTTATTTATTTCTTCTTCAGTTGCTTATTTTTTACTTTGAAAATTGTATATTTATGTTATTTATTTTGAAATCGTTATAAATTACAAGAATGTTCCTTCACTTCAAAAAAAGATGATTACATGTAAAATAAAAAATGTTTTTTCCCATGGAACCAAATGTAGACAATAAAATTCGCGTCGAGAAAACAATAATCAAGAATGGAAAATTATGCAACAATCGTTTTATTGATTTAAGTGTGAGTGTTACAATCTCTATGATTCCTCTGAATTCGCCTTTTCAAATATAATTCAAGGGCTCTTGAGCTTGATCTTGAACTTGAGATTTATCTCGATCTTGATCTCTATCTTGATCTTGATCTTGAACTTGAGATTTATCTCGATCTTGATCTTGATCTTGGACTTGAACTTTATCTTGATCTTGACTTCTAGTTGAATCCAAGGGCTTCGAGCTTGATCTTGAATCCGGCAGTCTTGATCTTGATTGTTCTTGATCTTTATCGTTCTTGAGACTTGAACGTTCTTGAATCTTGAATGCTTGAATTCTTGAACTCTTGAACTTGTAGAGAAATCTGCAGCTTTTGATCCACGAGCTTTCTCTAGCTTCTTGTTAAAATTCTTGGTCCTCTTTTCTGATTTATGAAGACCCCTATTTATAGTTTTAAAATAGAGGATTTGTGATTAGAAGAGGACTCCTTTCGGCCAATTAGATTTAAGTGACATGGCATATGGGCTTTATGGAGCGGGCTTTAATTAAATTCATATTTTGAATTTAAATAATTAACTCAATTATATCAATCCATAATATTTATTTGGACTAATATATTAATGAATTTAATATAATCTGAATCTTTTTATAAATTTATATTTAATAAATTTTAAATGATTACAAATGCCCCTGCTTCAAGTCTTGTCGAGATATTTCATCTTCTAGAAGACTAGACTTGAAGTATTAATTAAATAATAATTTATTTGAGATGCCCCTGCAATGTTTAATTTGTTGTCTGCCTCCAACTACATGTAATTGGAGTGGGCAAGTAAGTCTACCACTTTCAAACATATATTTGACCAATTTGAATCATGATAATTGATAAATATATGCTTGTTAAAAAGCAATAGGAAAACCAATTTGACTAGGACAGTATTTCCGTCAATTACTTTAGCATAGCCAAAAAGGAATTGCTATTAGTCTAGGAGAGGGATTTTATGATGCCATTTAAATTCAAAATGTAGTTGAACTAGGAATTGTAGTCCCACTTAATTTCAAATTCATATCCTTTTTCATTGTCCTAGCAAAAAAAGAAATTGTAATTGGACTAGGAGAGAGATTTTATTCCCACCACATGACATCTATAAATAGACACATAGTATCCATAATTTTGTCTTCAATTGCAGATTGTGAGCTACGAGCCTGTGACGAAAAGGGCATAATTCAAGGTAGTTTTCCTCCATTTTTCTGATTTTCGTCACCCTTTCTACAGCTTGACACGTTTGTCGTAGAAAATTCATATCTCATTGTAAAAAAAATCGAAATCAAGAACGGTTTGATTTTTCAGAAACTAGACTTCTCGATCTCTAACATATCTAAAATTCGGAATTTAATACCTTCAGAATATTTCTAGATGATTTTTTTTTAAAGTTAGCTTTAAATTCTGTCATGCTGAAAATTCCAGATTTGTGTGGCTTTACTAAAATTCTTGTGTCTTGATGTAGGAACGACGAAATCACAAGCCGCTTGATTATTTAGAATCTAGACACAAAGGTCTACAATATATCCAAAATTCAAGGTTTAATACCTTCATAATCTTTCTAGGTGATTTTTTGAAGTTAACTTTAAATTTTGTCATGTAGCTGATATTCTTAAGGCGAAAGAGGATAGATACACATCCCCGCCCTAAGAAAGGTAATTTATGGTATTCTTAAGGCGAAAAGAGGATGGATACGCATCTCCGCCCTAAGAAAGGTAATCTAAAGGTATTCTTTAAGGTGAAAAGAGGATGGATACTCATCCCCGCCCTAAGAAAGGTAATCTAAAGGTATGCTTTAAAGTGAAAAGAGGATGGATACTCATCCCCGCCCTAAGAAAAGTAATCTAAAGGTATTCTTTAAGGCGAAAAGAGGATGGATACTCATCCCCGCCCTAAGAAAGGTAATCTAAAGGTATTCTTTAAGGCGAAAAGAGGATGGATACGCATCCCCGCCCTAAGAAAGGTAATCTAAATGTATTCTTTAAAGGCGAAAAGAGGATGGATACGCATCCCTGCCCTAAGGAAAGGTAACTTTATGGTATCCTTAATGTGAAAAGAGGATGGATACGCATCCTCACCTTAATGAAGGTAATTTAGAGGTCAAGACTTGAAAACTTCAACTTTCAAACTTCAAATAATTTGAAGACTTCAACTTGCAGACTTAAAGAATTTGAAGACCTCAACTTGCAGACTTGAAGAATTTGAAGACATCAACTTGCAGACTCGAAGAATTTGAAGACATCAACTTGCAGACTCGAAGAATTTGAAGACATCAACTTGCAGACTTTGAAGAATTTGAAGACTTCAACTTGCATACTTGGAAGACTTGAAGACCTTCAGCCTATATACTTGGAGGATTTGAAGACTTCAACTTGCATACTTAGAAGACTTTGAAGACATCAACTTGCAGACTTAAAGAATTTGAAGACATCAACTTGCATACTTGGAAGACTTGAAGACCTTCAGCCTGTATACTTAGAGGATTTGAAGACTTCTACTTGCATACTTGGAAGACTTGAAGACCTTCAGCCTATATACTTGGAGGATTTGAAGACTTCAACTTGCATACTTAGAAGACTTTGAAGACATCAACTTGCAGACTTAAAGAATTTGAAGACATCAACTTGCATACTTGGAAGACTTGAAGACCTTCAGCCTGTATACTTAGAGGATTTGAAGACTTCTACTTGCATACTTGGAAGACTTGAAGACCTTCAACCTGTATACTTGGAGGATTTGAAGACTTCAACTTGCATACTTGGAAGACTTGAAGACCTTTAGCCTGTATACTTGGAGGATTTGAAGACTTTAACTTGCATACTTAGAAGACTTGAAGACCTTCAGCCTATATACTTGGAGGATTTAAAGACTTCAACTTGCATACTTGGAAGACTTGAAGGCCTTCAGCCTGTATACTTGGAGGATTTGAAGACTTCAACTTGCATACTTAGAAGACTTAAAGACTTCAATTTTAAAGAAACTTCAAGCATGTTGTTAACCGAACTCATTATTTTTTAAAGGTTTGCCCCCATCTATTGACCAATGAATACTTCGTACAAGTCTAAGGTTTGATGGGACAAAAGATAAAACAAAATACTTACCGCTTTGATTGTCATGTGACAGGTCAAGTGGGAACATATGGTTTTTTGACACTCATGCAACTGAACTTAGGATATATTCTAAGCGCCTACGTACCTCAGTGAAGAGGATCAAGTCACAACGTAGTTCTGGGGGATTAAGTGATTTTTTTTTGTGCCGTACACAGTTTATACTCTTGCGGGCCAGGAGTAACATGCAGTTTAGGCTCATACCTTAAGGAGCATCATCTTTACTTCAAGGGTAGTACCTCTTTAGGAATTTTGCATTAATAGGACCGATCCTTACGCCATCTGCATCAACAAGCTTGTAAGCACCATGTGAATAAGCTTCTTGTACGACATATGGTCCATCCCACTTTGAGGTAAATTTGCCCCCAGACTTGTGTGAAGTAATGATGGGTCTTCTTACAGTGAGAACTTGATCTCCAACTTGGAAACACCTCACGCGAACCTTCTTATTGAAAGCACGAGATAAACGAGCTTGATAACATTCAAGGTTTTGTTGGGCTTCTAGCCTCTTTTCATCAAGTGCTTCTAACTCAGTAAGACGAAGTCGAGCATTTTCTTCTTTAGTGAGCCCTTCTTGAATAGCAAGTCTCAAGGAAGGTATTTGACGCTCAAGTGGCAAGACTGCTTCAACTCCAAAAGCAAGTGAATATGGTGTTGCTTGAGTTAGAGTGCGGTATGTCGTTCTATATGCCCACAAAGCTTCTTCCATTCTTTCATGCCAATCTCGTTTGGACTTAGAGACAACTTTCCTGAGGAGGTTGCATAGAGTTTTATTAAATGCTTCAGCAAGACCATTAGCGGCAGCATGATACATAGAAGATTTACGTTGCTTGAAGTTAAAGAGATCACAAATTTTGTTCATTAACTTATTATCAAATGGCTTGCCATTCTCTGTTATAATGTAGCGAGGGATGCCAAAGCGATATATGATATTCACTCGGATAAAATTTGCAACATTCTCTTTCTTCACTTCTTTAAGAGCGACAGCTTCAGCCCATTTTGAGAAGTAATCTGTTGCAGCCAAGATGTACAAGTGTCCACCAGAAGATTTTGGTAGTGGTCCCACAACATCCAATCCCCAAGCGTCAAATGGCCAAGATGCAATAGTTGGGTGCAATACTTCGGGCGACTGATGTATAAAATTTGCATGAAATTGACAAGCATCGCACCTCCGAGCATAATCTAAGCAATCATTCACCATGGTTGGCCAATAATACCCCATTCTCTTTATGTGAAAGTGGAGTTTTGGTCCAGATTGATGTGATCTACACACTCCCGAGTGTGCTTCTTGCAAAGCTTGAATTGCTTCTTCCTCTCCCAAACATCGTAATAGTACACCCTCAAATGATCTTCTATATAATGTGTCCTTGTAATAAAGGAAGCGAGGTGCACGACGACGAATGTCAGTCCTTCTCCTTGGATCTTCTGGAAGTATCCCATAACACATATAGTCAATAATGGGTTGTCTCCACTCTTCCTTCACGGCTTCAGAAACGGCGACGAAATGATTAAACTCATTTTCTATACATTCTTCCTCATTTGGCGGTGGTACTATCCATTTTTGACAAATAGTCACTTGCGTTTGATCAGGAAGGGTTAGCGTTGAAGCTAGAGCAGCCAATGCATCAACTTTCTTATTCTCCGTTCTACGCACATGTTGAAGGGTTACATCTCCAAGCCATCCTATCAACTTTTGAGCATAATCATGATAAGGACGCAATTCAGGCTTCTTCACCTCATAACTTCCCAAGAGTTGGTTGATCACTAACTGAGAGTCACCAAAGACTTGCAAGTTTAATTCCTTCATGTCAACGGCCATCTCAAGTCCAAGTATCAACGTTTGGTATTCAGCGACATTATTGGAGCAACATTGCTTCAAAGAAAATGAGAATGGTAGGATCTCTTCTTGTGAAGTAATGAACACTACACCAGCACTAGCTCTGCCACGATGTGCAGCTCCATCAAAGTACATTTTCCAAGGAGGTAGAACTTCAATTAACATTGCATCTTCATCAGGAAGCTCATCGGTTAACTCCCAATCATTCGGTATCGGATGGTCTGCCAAGAAATCCGCCAATGTTTGTCCTTTCACAGCTTTTTGAGGGATGTACACGGTCTCAAACTGTTGGAATTGGAGGTACCATCTTGCTAGTCGGTCACTAAGGACAGGTTACGACATAACAAACTTGATGGGATTTGCTCTAGAAATAAGACGAATAACATGGGCTTGAAAATAATGCTTCATCTTTTGAATTGAGAAGACTAATGCCAAGCACAATTTTTCAATCGGTGAATAGTTCAGCTCATTTGGTGTCATCGTTCTACTCAAGTAGTAAAGAGAGTTTTCTTTGCCTTTACTATTCTCTTGAGCTAGCAGGGCTCCTATAGACCTTTCTTGTGCCGCAATGTAGAGTATCAATAGCTTTCCAGGTATAGGGGCTGCCAAAACTGGAGGTTTTGCTAGATATGACTTGATACTTTTAAAGGCATCGCTACATGTTTCGTCCCAATTAAAATGAGCGCCTTTCTTTATGAGATGACCGAATGGTTGGCATCGTCCTGCTAGGTTTGAGATGAACCTCCTCAAGTAGGCTAGCTTTCCTTGGAGACTTTTTAACTCATGAATGTTTTGAGGTGCAGGCATCTTCAATATTGCATCAACTTTGGCTTGATCAATTTTAATTCCTCGATGTCTCACAATAAAGCCAAGGAACTTTCCAGAAGTAACTCCAAAGGCACACTTCAATGGATTCATCCTTAGTTGATATCTTCGAAGCAGCTCAAACACCATTCTTAAGTCTTTCAAATGATCACTCCTCTTTCTGGATTTTACCACCAGGTCATCCACATAACATTCAACAATTTTATGGAGCAAGTCATCAAATATATTTTGCATAGCCCTTTGATATGTAGCACCAGCATTCTTTAAACCAAATGACATCACTTTGTAGCAATAAATACTCTTAGGTGTGCGAAATGCGGTGAGTTCTTCTTCCTTTGGAGCCATGCGGATTTGATTATAGCCAGAAGAACCGTCCATGAACAACATTGCCTCATATCCAGTGGTGGCATCAATCATCAGCTCTGGAATGGGAAGAGGAAACTCATCTTTAGGGCATGCATTATTAAGATCTCTAAAGTCAACACATACTCGAATTTGACCATTCTTCTTCTTCACAAGAACAATACTTGAAATCCATGTAGGATATTTAACCTCACGAATAAAGCCTGCCTCAATGAGTTTATTAACTTCATTTTCTATCAATGGAACCAAGTCTAGCCTAAAGCGTCTTTGAGCTTGCTTAATGGGACGAGAACCATTTTTGACTGCCAACTGATGGACCGCTACTTTAGGATTTAATCCAGGCATTTCTTTATAACTTCAAGAGAAGACATCCCTATATTCTTTGAGTATATTCATATAAGCGATTTCTTCATCAACTTCTAGAAAGGCACTCAAGTAAGTTGGCCTTGGGTCTTCATTAGTGCCAATGTTAACTTCTTTCAATGGGTCTATTGTGGTCTTTACTCCTTCTTCAAGTTCCGGTGGAGCATCTCCAGCATCTTTCTCTTCTAAAGGATCATTGTCATTGACAGATATATGACAACACCAGACAATATCTTCTAACTCTTCATCAATCTTTATTTGAGGCAGAGAATCGTACTCATTTTGGATTGTAACATGATTTGAGGAGCCTACACTTTCTTCATCTTCCTCGCGCTCCTTGGTGTAAACCACGGTGCAAACCTTTGCCTTAAGCACCTCTTTACATGAAACTACAAGTTCCACTCGTCGCCTCATTCTAGAAGGAATCAAACTTTTGAAATCCTTTTGAACCAAATGTGAAGCAGGTGTTGTAACTTTTAAATAACTTCTCAGATTCTTGTTTTTCTTCAATGGACCTAATCTCTTGAACACAAAAGTTCTTGCAGTCGATTCTCCGAGTCGATCAAAGACGGAAAGCTTTCTATTGGGAGCAGTAACATTATCTTCAAAAGTTATATGATTATTACTTGCTCTTCTTATAGAGATGCGAACTGGCGGTAGTTGGTTATAGCCTATGCCCTCACGTGCTTGCTTGATTTTATCTATTGATGGGAGTTTCCCTAACATTGATGGCTCATTAGGGTTATATCCAGCCATCGCAAATAATTTGTAAGCATTAGGATCAAAACCTTCTCCCGTGCGTTTTGTAGGGAGTGCTACATCTCGCACTTGATTTTGAGCGATTGTCTTTACTGACAGCTTTGAAGGCAAGTTTATTGCATCAATCCGTCTGTTAGAAAGAGTTAGTCCTCTTAATGCATCTTCTTGAAGGTTAGATGATTTGACTTCTTCTTTCTTTACTTTTGGAACATAGCGAAGTCCAGAAGTCAGATTCTTCTTTGAAGACATGGTCTTCCCTTCATTGAGATTGGGACAAAGTACTTTAGTGTCAACTTTTACCTTTTCGACAGCCGTATCGATTATTTTGCTTGTGATCTTGTCAGACTTGGTTGATTTGACATCATTAGATTTTGTCCCTTTAACAACATAACTCTTCAAGTAGAATTTGCATCGGCAAAATGCGTCTCAACTTCGGTGAAAGGATTATCGTCTGCAACTATCTTCCTTTCAATCCTGTCTTCAAGATACTTCAAACATTGATAGTAAGAAGATGAGACAATTCTATTCTCGTGTACCCAAGGCCTACCAAGTAATATATTGTATGAAGTCTTTGATCTTGAACTTGAGATTTATCTCGATCTTGATCTTTATCTTGATCTTGATCTTGGACTTGAACTTTATCTTGATCTTGACTTTTAGTTGAATCCAAGGGCTTCGAGCTTGATCTTGAATCCGGCAGTCTTGATCTTGATCGTTCTTGATCTTTATCGTTCTAGAGACTTGAACGTTCTTGAATCTTGAATGCTTGAATTCTTTAACTCTTGAACTTGTAGAGAAATCTGCAGCTTTTGATCCACGAGCTTTCTCTAGCTTCTTGTTAAAATTTTTGGTCCTCTTTTTTGATTTATGAAGACCCCTATTTATAGTTTTAAAATAGAGGATTTGTGATTAGAAGAGGACTCCTTTCGGCCAATTAGATTTAAGTGACATGGCATATGGGCTTTATGGAGCGGGCTTTAATTAAATTCATATTTTGAATTTAAATAATTAACTCAATTATATCAATCCATAATATTTATTTGGACTAATATATTAATGAATTTAATATAATCTGAATCATTTTATAAATTTATATTTAATAAATTTTAAATGATTACACCAAATTATACATATACACAATTATAGGAAGGTATAATATAATTATTTTATTTTATATTCTTTTCATGTAAGAAGAAACCCTCAAAAGTATTTAAAATTTTCAACTAAAATTCACACACATATGCACGCACATGCGCACACACGCACACACATACAAAAGATAAGATGCAGACATTATTATATATATAATACCTCTTCTATTTAAATAATATTTAGTGTATTATTTATATTTTGCATGATCTCGCGAAGCGGGGATGAGTTCACTTGTCTAAAATAAAGAACAAACATTATTATCATTCTTAGTGTTGAAGTAACTTTTTTTTAGCACTAGTATTGATTTGATTTAATTTAAGTTTTGTTAGAGTTACTAATATCTATGGACTATAACCTTTATTGGACCATTCAAAATTCAACTCTCAAAAACTAGAAATAATATGATAATAGATAAAAACAATGAAAAAGTATAAGAAATATTTTTAAAAATAATACAAAGTAAATACTTTTATGTATAAAAAATTATAATTTTAAAAATTATATATATAATGTCGGGTTGATTTGATCTCGAATTGACATTTTTTTTAGATAAAACCAAACCAATCAAGTATAGTTGTGGAATGGACCGAAAACCACAATTGACATTGAAAACTACCAATATCTCTTTTTTAAGTTTAAATCTAGACTCATGGTCCATTTTATTTAATAAAAAATGGGCTCTTAAACGGATCCACACATAAATATACCAAAAAAGAGATGGTCGGCCCAAAAGTGGTCAGACCAGGTGAATATAAAAGAACCCTAAATGATAGGGTTTTATGATTTGTGCTCTCCGCCTCTTCTTCTCCATGTTCTCATCGCCTCTGCGGCGATATTCTCTCTTATGCTCCCCAATTGTAGCTTCTTCCCCCTTTGGTTATTGGGGGATTACCATTCCCCACCTTGATGTTGTTGCTATTGTTGTTGCTGTTGAGATCAGCTTTTAAAGGTTCAGTTTTTTAGCCTTCTCGCTTCTTCATTGTTTCGTTTTTCAACTGACTCTGCTTTTTGTTTAAAGGTGTACTACAAATTATTAATTATTGGGAAAAATGGTGGAGATGGAATAAAATTGATGTTGAGATTTTATATGCAAAATCCAACTAATTCAGGATTGAGGTATTATTGTAGTTGTTGAATTCCTATTTTTGTATTATTACTATACTGCATTTTCTTAGAAAAGGAAAAAAAAAGTATAACGTACTAGCTAGGCTAATCTTATTTGCATCAATTTCAGGATCCAAAATAGAGTAGAAAATCCTAAAACTGCCAGCAACACTACGTGTGAAAAAGAATTCAAACTCCCTTGTTCTAGTCTGACCTCAAGTTTGGAACCTTCTATTTCAGGAGACAGATGTAACTGGTAATAATACTAATACTTAGTTTCATTCTATTTTTTTTCTCCTATTTAAGATTATAATGATATATGTTGAATCCGATCGGTAAAGTGTCCACTCTTTCGTCAAATTTCTTTCTATGCCTATATTGACTACTTGTTTTTATGCCTTTTTAGTCATTGTTCTCTAATTTGGCATTGCTTCAATAAATTAATTATAGGAAGAAGGTAGTTGAATTTGCTTAATAGAAATGTTAAAGAAAAGGCATTTCATAAGGTTTGTTTAACTCAAAATTATAAGAGATTTAAAAAAATTAGGTGATACACTTTCTCATAAGATCAGTGTAGTAATTGCTCATGGACTTTAAAGATGTTGTCAAGTCATTACATTGAATGAAGAACTGAATGTTGTCATTACCAATATACTTCCATTTCCCCCTGAAAATATATCAATTAAACCTTAACTAATGAAACTTAATATTCAGGGAGCAAGTATCATCTGTTTTTTTGGTGAATCTCACGAAATTATAAATTGGAAAACCTACATGAGCACCTATTTGGTGGTAGGTGATGTAGAGTTGTGAGATTCAACCTCTTCTGTTTCTCTTGCTAATCCTAGTGAAAATGATTTAACTACTACATTGACTCGCACAAATTTTAATTAATCACCTTATTGTAATTTTTGATATATTAGAGATGTATTAGAAGCTTAGACTTGGTAATGGCAGGATTTGTGTTGAGTGAGGCACAGAGTATTATTGCTCTTGATCTCTTTTACCACTAAGAGAATCAGAAGGCTTGAATTAATAAAAATACAAAAGAGCATGTGAAGATTAGGAGAAAAGTGATGTTTGATTAGGTGGTTGAATGTCTGGAATTCAGATGTAAACAGAGTTTTGGCCGAGGTTTTGAAGCTTGGGCAAAATGGACAACATTGATCAAAAGGAAGAAGTGGTTGTCCACTTTTCCCAAGCTTCAAGACCTCTGGCAAAACTCTGTTTACAATCAACTGAAATTTAGACATTCAGCTACCAATCCAACAATACTCTTCTCCTAATCTTCAGATGCTCTTCTGCATTATTAGTTCGATCCTTCTGATTCTCCAACTGGTCAAAGAGATCAAGAACAATAATAATATGAGTCTCACTCAACATAAATCTTCCCGTTACCAAGTCTGGGCTTCTAATTATATCTCTAATATATCTAATTTTCTAGTAAGGTGATTCATTGAAATTTGTGAAAGTCGATTTAGTAGTTGAATCCTTTTCACCAACATCAACAAGAGAAACATAAGAGGCTGAGTCTAACAACTCTTCATCACCTTCTACCAAATGGGTCCTCATGTAGGTTTTCAATACATCATTTCGTGTGATCCATCAGACAAATGATACTTGATCCCTTAATCATAAATTTCATCAATCAAGATTTAATTAACATTTTTTTAAGGAAAAAATGGAAGTATACTAATATTATCACAATCTGAAATGGCAGAGAAAAAAGGGAATGAAACTAAATATCAGTATTATTACCATCAGTAGTTAAACTTCTATACATTTCTAAAGAGTTGTAACCAGTGCTTTCAAAAATGTTTTTTGGGTGAGTCTCAGGGAGGATCGTACCAAAAACGCTACGGGCGCAAATTGATAAGGCCTAGAATTTGGGGAGTAAGCACTATGCATAAAATCATAAGTTCTGGGCGTAAAAACGTATGCCCTGAGTGTTCTTAATTGTTATTTTT